GGGCGGATTGCATTTGCTCCTTGAACATGTTATCCCCTCATCCCCGGTTGCCTGCGCAGTTGTGCCAGCAGGACAGCGAGCAGGGCAGTGGCAGAGCTGGGGGAGCGTGCAGTAGGCTCGCTGCTGTTATCGCTGGAACAAGAGTGAAGGACAGACTTTTCAGGAGATGCACTGGGGAGCATAAAACAATCTGCTAGTACAAAAGGACGAGCTGCCTTAAGACAAGAGAGATGTGTTATGTACAAGGCCACAATTATGCTTCGAAGTAGCCACTATGCACAGGTGTACACAGGTTTCTCAGAGGAGCAACTGGACTTGGTTCGGTGGCAGACATGGTAAGGGAGAGGTCAGGACTCAAGGCGGGAGTCTGGACGTGGTAAAAGGGCAGGGCAAGGGTTCACGGCATGCATCTTTGGGGCTGAACAAATGGAGATTTACTGCACAGGCATCAGCTAATCACTCCCCCTGCGTCATCCAAGTTGCCATGCGATATATCAGTCTTCTCTGAATCACACAGAGGGGAAGGGAGCTGATGCTGACGGAATGTAGCTGGAAATCTGGACTTTATACTGAAATGCTTTGTGCTGCAATGATGCCAGACCACTTACTGCTGCCTTGGCATAGAAATGTGTCCTACTGTGGAGCATGGATAAGGCAGGTCACCCCAGAAACCTTGTGAGAAGGATGAAAAAGTTCCTCTAGGAAAGCTTTATGGAGATGGTTGGAAATGGGAGGGAGCGTGGGCTATAATAGCAGAGAGAGAGGAGGGTCAGGGCAAAACTGGGAGGCAAGATCAAATCAGTATCTTAGATGCCTATATACAAATGCGAGAAGTATGGGTAATAAGCAGGAAGAACTGGAAGTGCTAATAAATAAATACAACTATGACATTGTTGGCATCACAGAAACTTGGTGGGATAATACACAATTGGAATGTTTGTATGGAAGGGTACAGCTTGCTCAGGAAGGATAAACAGGGAAAAAAGGGAGGAGGTGTTGCCTTATATATTAAAAATGTACACACTTGGACGGAGGTGGAGATGGACGTAGGAGACGGAAGTGTTGAGAGTCTCTGGGTTAGGCTAAAAGGGGTAAAAAACAAGGGTGATGTCATGCTAGGTGTCTACTATGGGCCACTTACCCAAGTGGAAGAGGTGGATGAGGCTTTTTTTAAACAACTAACAAAATCATCCAAAGCCCAAGATTTGGTGGTGATGGGGGACTTCAACTATCCAGATACATGTTGGGAAAATAACACAGCGGGGCATCTTGGACTGCATTGGAGACAACATTTTATTTCAGAAGGTTGAAAAAGCTACCAGCAGGGACGCTGTTTTAGATTTGATCCTGACAAATAGGAAGGAACTGGTTGAGAATTTGAAAGTGGAAGGCAGCTTGGGTGAAAGTGATCATGAAATCATAGAGTTCACAATTCTAAGGAAGGGACAATAGAGACAATGGATTTCAGAAAGGTGGATTTTGGTAAGCTCAGAGAGCTGATAGGTAAGGTCCCATGGGAATCAAGACTGAGGGGAAAAACAACTGAGGAGAGTTGGCAGTTTTTCAAAGGGACATTGTTAAGGGCCCAAAAGCAAGCTATTCCGCTGTGTAGGAAAGATAGAAAATATGGCAAAAGACCGCCTTGGTTTAACCACGAGATCTTCCATGATCTAAGAATAAAAAAGGAGTCCTATAAAAAATGGAAACTAGGACAAATTACAAAGGATGAATATAGGCAAACACCACAAATGCAGGGGCAAGATTAGAAAGGCAAAGGCACAAAATGAGGTCAAACTAGTTATGGGAATAACGGGAAACAAGACGACTTTTTATAAATACATTAGAAGCAAGAGGAAGACCAAGGACAGGGTAGGCCCACTGCTCAGTGAGGAGGGAGAAACAGTAACAGGAAACTTGGAAATGGCAGAGATGCTTAATGACTTCTTTGTTTCGGTCAGAATACTCAAGGAGCTGATAGAGGAGGTATCTGAGCCTCTAGCTATAATCTTTGGGAAATCATGGGAGACAGGAGAGATTCCAGAAGACTGGAAAAGGGCAAATATAGTGCCCATCTATAAAAAGGGAAATAAGAACAACCCAGGAAACTACAGACCAGTTAGTTTAACTTCTGTGCCAGGGAAGATAATGGAGCAAGTAATTAAGGAAATCATCTGTAAACACTTGGAAAGTGGCAAGCTGATAGGGAACAGCCAGCATGGATTTGTAAAGAACAAATCACGTCAAACCAATCTGATAGCTTTCTTTAATAGGATAACGAGTCTTGTGGATAAGGGAGAAG